AACCTTTGGCACGCGGCCCGTCAGGGAAATCCACTGGCGGGCCGGGACGGTTTGTTTACCTGCATCGTCCACTGGTTCAGCTGATCGCAGCTTCTACTGGTCGCGATTCGCCGTTCCAGGCCAATGGGGGCTGCGGGAAGTGGCAGCCAGCACATCCCTCGGGCCATGTCGCTTCCCGCAGCCCCCACTGGCCTGGAACAGTGAACCACGGCCAGTGGGAGCTGCGATAGCTGACCTGCGGACGCTGTAGGTAAACAAACCATCCCGACCTGCCAGGGGATTTCCCTGATGGGCCACGTGCCAAAGGCTGCCGATCCCTGGTCTACAATGTCAATAAAGACATTGGTTGTGTTCTCTGAGGCCCGCAGTTGAGACGGCATTCTCTGAACCTTAGTGACATGGAGGGGGTATATGCCAGCTGCTTTATTTTTCCAGTAAAAACATGAATTTAACGGCCAAAAATTCTCTGGCTCAAAGAGAATGATATCCTGGGCTGAACAGTTGAGAATTGTCCTGTTCACCAATTAGGCAGTTGGCACTTCCCACTACTGTGCTTTATCAGTGCTAAGCTGTCCAGGCTTGTCAGTACTGCAATATGAAAATTAACTTAGTGTTTCAATACTAAAATAAGGTTTGCAAAGTACAGTTTGTTCAAAGTGGAGTATCCAAGCTGTCAACCTATTCTTAAATTAGCTTAAACATCAAGCATAATTGATCATTAGAATATTTTCAGTGACACAAGAAAAGAAACTATGTCTGAAAATCAAAGAGACTTATTAAAAAGAACTTCCTTTTATTGAAAACTAGATGAAACACCCTTCAAAATTCACCCTGGCAATTCCTATGTGACTATTAATAAGAGTCCTTGTCGAGTGCTTGAATCGGCTAAACAAGTTCAACTTCAGGACAACAAGGTTTATGTATTAACCCAAAAAATATTTGCAAAACAAACCAACAAACAACTGTGGCTATAATTAAATAAATATTTACTAAATATCAGAAGTTAAAACAATTGCCAGATTTTGAATTTCACAGCCTATATACTGAATTTTACTCAAAGAGAATGACCAAGAAATCATGTTTATTAAGTGTTAATAGCCTGTTGAGCTGTGCATGGCTATGTCTACACTGCACACCTTACAGTAGCACAGCTGTGTCCTTTAAGGTATACAATGTAGCTGCTCTTTGTCGGCAGGAGAGGTCTCTTGCTGACTAAATAAAATCACTCCCTGCAATTCCCCTACTCCCATCTTCATGCCAGAGGCTCTGTATGCCCCCTCAAAAATTCTCCCTTTCACCATATGCCAAGAACTCTCAGTCTTCCCCATTTCCCTTGTAACTGCTCATCTTAGCCTGCTTACATCTAGAGGGTTGCCAACCTCCTTTCACACACAAGGGGGTCCTTGCTGCCCTCCATTTCCCCCCTAATTTGGAATTTGCAAATTATTTCTTTTCTCTCTGTCTGGAATATAAGTCATTCAGGCTGTCAACATTTTAAACGCTTTTGGAACGATAGGCAGAGCTGAGATGGGGTATGTTGTTATGCTGGAAGGTGTTAAAAGAAAAAGTTGATGGCAGCCATTTTTTTTTAGACTCTCTAGACAACAACAGATGTGGTTAAAGCTGAGGGTGTGCTAACCAAATGCCAAGAGCTGCCTCCCTCCCACCCGTTTCTGATTTCCACCAAAAATCAATAGGATTCTTCCCATTTTTGTGTATAACATATCCTGCAATTTTGGAATTGATCGCCTGTGGTGTTCAAGAATTATGCCCAGACACACAAGCAGAGAATTGCCATCAGGAGTGTAGGCCTCACTTCGCTCAGCCAATTAAAAGGTTGCACACTTCATTGCTCATAAGCTCAGCCAACAAAGTAAATACATTTTTTAAAAATTTTTCATCACCACCACTTCACTGAAGAAAAGTAACAGACGGTTATACTCCACTGGCTTGGAACATGCAACCTGAATATAAAAATTCTCAAATGGACCAACTCTTGCCCTTTATTCAAGAAATCAAGTAATAATCAGAACAAACTAGGATCTCCCATTTGAGCTGCACAAGTGCAAATCTCTCACAAGTATTTCCATGAAGCTTTAGTAATCCCTTTTCTCTTCCCATAATTCTATGACTTCCCCACCCCCCTCTTCATAACTCTCTGACACTGGCTGCCTGCATCTGTTCTTCCACAGCTCTTCATAGGGTGCCAGGAGGCCACTACTCTCTATTGCAAAGAAAGTTAGGGGGAGCTGGGTGCCACCCCTTCACATTTTATAAAACTGTGACAGGCAACCATTCTGTCCCAATACTGAGGAGCTACTGCCACACCAGTATCTGGGATGTGTCTCAGCTTCAGACAATCAGGGCACCAGACTGACTGTTGCTTACCTAGCTGGCTGCAGCTTCCAGCCCTTCCCAAAAATCTCATTTTGCATAGGGGAAGAGAGGAAACACTATATCAAGAAGCCTGCTAGTGGGGGCAGCCCCCTGAAAGCCCATGGAGAAGGTAATGAAAGTACCCATTGTTGCAAAAGAGGAGGAGCAGGTTACCCGACTGCACACCCAAAGTTATCAAAGGTATAGGAGTCCTGGGTCCTGCAAGAGGATGCAGGGAGGACCTAAGGAGAATGAGTCCACTGGAGGAGAATGGGCAATAAACAGAATTCCTAATATCAAGACCTCACAATTCATAGGAACATAGGAATTGCCTTACTGAGTGAGATCCAAAATCCATCTAGTCCAGTAGCTGGTCTCTGACAGTGGCTTCAGAGGACGTGCAAACCCTGAGGCACAAGGCTTACTATTCCTTCCAAAATTATCATCATTAATTTTGATAACAACAACAGAGTTATCCATAGACATACTCCATCTTCTTTTGAATCTCTCTCAATTCTTGGCCTCAATGTCATCCTGTGGCACAGAGTTTTGTAATCTAATTATGCATTGTGTTAAAAAGTTTCACAGTCTAATTATGCATGGGTGAAAAAGTACCTCCTTTTATTAGTTTTGAATTTTCCACCTTCTAATTTAATTGAACGCCTTCTTGTTCTTGAGTTATGAGATGTGAGAACTAAAGCTCCTGATCTACCTGTGCTATACTATTACTTACATAACTTTTATCACCCCCCCTCAAATGTATCTCCTTTCTAAGGTAAAAAATCCCAATCTTTTCAATCTCACTTTTTATAATTTTTTTCCTATTCCAACGTCCTCTGAATATTATACTAGCTCATTATATTCTTTCCTCAAACTAGCTCCTTCCTTGATTAACTCAAATCTGTTCAAATATTTGACTGATTGTCTCATTATCTGGCAGCAAATCTGAGTAATAATGCTGTAAGTAAGAATTAAAACAATTACATAAATTTAAGAGACCATCAGGACCCCTCAAAAGGATTCTAGCTCAATAATTCATAATTGGTCATTATTCATTCTATATTTAGGAATTGTGATGCCTTTGTCACACACCCAGAAAAACGTCACCTACTGTTGGCGTATGTTATTGTTTTAAGACCCGGTACTAATTTGTGTGAGGCTGTCACATTTCTTGAACGTCATTATAAGATACTCTGGGATTGTTCAAGGAACAGGGTCCCACTCATCCCAATATATGCAGGACAACGGTCAATTACATGTTCTAACAGTCCTTCTTAAGGGAACATATACAGGTCCTAAGACCACGTTTTAAACCTGTAAAATTGCCTCAAGGTAAGAGGAGTATATTCTACAGGCAAGTCCAATCCTGCAAATAGATCAGCACCATTGGACCCCTGAATTTAGTGGGGTTCTGCCTTCATAAGGTGGCAACCCTATGCAATGTAATGATACAAGTATCACTAGTCTGTCCCAGGGGAGTGGTTCTCAAACTATAGGCTGCAGAGCTCTTCCTGATGATCCACAAAATGAAGCATTTTGAAACAAAAGTAATGGACAGATAAGGCAAGTGTTTTGGAGGCTCTCTCTCTCATGAGGTGCTTCTCAGAATAGAAAAATTGGTGAATTGTTGCCCTAAAATGAGGCAACATCCCCCAATTTCACTACAAAACCTATACATCCAGTGGAGTTTAGATAGAGAGGAGCTGGGAACTGTCCTGCTCCTATACCCCAGTTACTTTTGTTTTGACTTTCCAGACAAGTAAAAGGGATACAAGACCCTGAGAAAAAATTTAAAGTAAAATCCACCAAAAAAACCCCAACACACCCAGTGTGTTGAAGATGGCATGAGATGGAAGATACCACTAGTGTGTGAGGAGGAGAGGAGATTAAGACTAGAGGAGATTAAAAACATGTAGCCAGTGAGTTTGGGGATAAGGGAAGGAGGGAATTAGAACTGGATCTGGACAGGTGAGACTGGGATTTGGGAGCAGTAGGGGCTGATGTGGATTAGATTTGGGGGCTGGGATTTGGGGGTAATGGGGATTGATGGTGAGGTGTGGAGGAGGCATTAGAGGCTGATGGTGGTTGGATATGGGGTAGTGAGGGGCTAATGGTGAATGGGGGGGACTAGAATTTGGGTTTATGGCTGAATCTGGGAGCTGGGATTTTTGGGGCACTGGGGGCTGATGGTGGGAGGATTTAGGGTCAGTGGGAGTGGATGGGACACAGAGGGGACTGGAGTTTGGGGACAGTGAAAGCTGATGGTGATTGGATTTGGGGGCAGTGGGGGCTGATGGTGGGATGTGGAGTAATGGAGTTTGGGGGTGGAGGGGGCTGGAGTTCAGGGCCAGTGGGGGCTGATGGTGGCGGGATTTGGGATCAGTGGGAGCTGATAGGGGATGGAAGGGGCTGGAGTTTGGGGGCAGTGGGGACTGATGGCGGGGTGTGGAAGGGGCTGGAGTTTGGGGCCGGTGGGGCTGATGGTGATTGGATCTGGGGCAATGAGGGTTGATGGTGGCTAGAGAGCTGATGGGGGGCCGTGGAGGCTCACAGGGGTGTAAAAGTGGCTGGAGTTTGGGGGCGCAGTCACACCCCATTAACCCGGGAGCAGGGAGGGGAGTTACCTGCGGCGGCTCCCGGGCCGTGCAGCGCCCTGACCTCCGGCTGCAGCTGCCTCTCCCCAGCCAGGCGGCCCCGCACCACCTGCTGCAAAAGGAGCCGGACTCTCCGCGCTGCGGGGCCGCCGCTGAAGCACAGAAGCCGGGACTGCATGGGGAAGGCCGGGCCGGAGACGCGCACCGGGCGGGCGGGGACCGGGGAAGCGGCAGGCCGGGGGGGGGAAGGGAAACGCCGAGGCACAAAGTCCCACCGGAAACTGGTGCCGGCCGGACTCGGGCTGCCCGGGGAGGGAGGCGCCCCGGCGGCTGGTCGTGACGGCGTTTGCCCCGGGGCCCGATGCTGGGGCCTGGGAGCCAAATCATAGAATATCAGGGTTGGAAGGCCAATCCCAGCGCTTTGCCATCCGCTTTCATGGGAGCAGGCCTGGGCCCCGAGAGGCAGGGACTGAGTGAACCTGCCCCGAGTGGGTCCGTCTCTCCCCAGCTCAGGGGTGGGGGAGACGTTGCTGGGGTGCTGTGCCATAGTCTCTCACCCCCCCCTTCCAATCGTGGGGATGGGCACAGGGGGATTTTGCTCTGCGGACGCCACCGGCTCTGCCTCTTTCTGTTGACAGAGGGGGTGGGGGTTGCTCTGTGGGTGTGTCAGCACTGGGATCAGCCTTCAACCATCCATCAGTGACCTGCCCTGTTCAGTTGCACTGTAGCCTTGAGGAAAAAAGAAAAGGAGGACTAGTGGCACCTTAGAGACCAACCAATTTATTTGAGCATAAGCTTTCGTGAGCTACAGCTCACTTCATCGGATGCATAAAGTGGAAAGTGAGGAGATTTATATACACACAGACCATGAAAAAATGGGTGTTTATCATGCATTATCATGTATTTATCATACACATTGTAATGAGAGTGATCAGGTAAGGAGCTATTACCAGCAGGAGAGGAGGGGGGAGAAAACCTTTTGTAGTGATAATCAAGGTGGGCCATTTCCAGCAGTTAACAGGAACGTCTGAAGAAAAGGAGTACTTGTGGCACCTTAGAGACTAACCAATTTATTTGAGCATGAGCTTTCGTGAGCTACAGCTCACTTCAGCGGATGCATGCCGTGGAAACTGCAGCAGACTTTATATATACACAGAGAATATGAAACAATACCTCCTCCCACCCCACTGTCCTGCTGGTAATAGCTTATCTAAAGTGATCATCAGGTGGGCCATTTCCAGCACAAATCCAGGTTTTCTCACCCTCCACCCCCCCCACACAAATTCACTCTCCTGCTGGTGCTAGCCCATCCAAAGTGACAACTCTTTACATAATCAAGTCGGGCTATTTCCTGCATAAATCCAGGTTTTCTCACATCCCCCCCACCCCCATACACACACAAACTCACTCTCCTGCTGGTAATAGCTCATCTAAACTGACCACTCTCCAAGTTTAAATCCAAGTTAAACCAGAACATCTGGGGGGGGAGGGGGGGGGGTAGGAAAAAACAAGAGGAAACAGGCTACCTTGCATAATGGCTTAGCCACTCCCAGTCTCTATTTAAGCCTAAATTAATAGTATCCAATTTGCAAATGAATTCCAATTCAGCAGTTTCTCGCTGGAGTCTGGATTTGAAGTTTTTTTGTTTTAAGATAGCGACCTTCATGTCTGTGATTGCGTGACCAGAGAGATTGAAGTGTTCTCCGACTGGTTTATGAATGTTATAATTCTTGACATCTGATTTGTGTCCATTTATTCTTTTACGTAGAGACTGTCTAGTTTGACCAATGTACATGGCAAAGGGGCATTGCTGGCACATGATGGCATATAACACATTGGTGGATGTGCAGGTGAACGAGCCTCTGATAGTGTGGCTGATGTTATTAGGCCCTGTGATGGTGTCCCCTGAATAGATATGTGGGCACAATTGGCAACGGGCTTTGTTGCAAGGATAAGTTCCTGGGTTAGTGGTTCTGTTGTGTGGTATGTGGTTGTTGGTGAGTATTTGCTTCAGGTTGCGGGGCTGTCTGTAGGCAAGGACTGGCCTGTCTCCCAAGACTTGTGAGAGTGTTGGGTCATCCTTTAGGATAGGTTGTAGATCCTTAATAATGCGTTGGAGGGGTTTTAGTTGGGGGCTGAAGGTGACCGCTAGTGGCGTTCTGTTATTTTCTTTGTTAGGCCTGTCCTGTAGTAGGTAACTTCTGGGAACTCTTCTGGCTCTATCAATCTGTTTCTTTACTTCAGCAGGTGGGTATTGTAGTTGTAAGAAAGCTTGACAGAGATCTTGTAGGTGTTTGTCTCTGTCTGAGGGGTTGGAGCAAATGCGGTTGTATCGCAGAGCTTGGCTGTAGACGATGGATCGTGTGGTGTGGTCAGGGTGAAAGCTGGAGGCATGCAGGTAGGAATAGCGGTCAGTAGGTTTCCGGTATAGGGTGGTGTTTATGTGGCCATTGTCAGGAACGTCTGAGTAACAGTGGGGGGGAGGGGAATAAACAAGGGGAAATAGTTTTACTTTGTGTAATGATACATCCACTCCCAATCTCTATTCAAGCCTAAGTTAATTGTATCCAGTTTGCAAATTAATTCCAATTCAGCAGTCTCTCCTTGGAATCTGTTTTTGAAGTATTTTTGTTGTAATAGTGCGACCTTTTGGTCTGTAATCAAGTGACCAGAGAGATTGAAGTGTTCTCTGACTGGTTTATGAATGTTATAATTCTTGACATCTGATCTGTGTCCATTTATTCTTTTACGTAGAGACTGTCCAGTTTGCCCAATGTACATGGCAGAGGGGCATTGCTGGCACATGATGGCATATATCACATTGGTAGAACGAGCCTCTGATAGTGTGGCTGATGTGATTAGGCCCTATGATGGTGTCCCCTGAATAGATATGTGGGCACAGTTGGCAACAGGCTTTGTTGCAAGGATAGGTTCCTGGGTTAGTGGTTCTGCTAAGTGGTATGTGGTTGTTGGTGAGTATTTGCTTCAGGTTGGGGGGCTGTCTGTATGCAAGGGCTGGCCTGTCTCCCAAGATTTGTGAGAGTGATGGGTCGTCCTTCAGGATAGGTTGTATAAGTCCTTGCCTATAGACAGCCCCCCAACCTGAAGCAAATACTCGCCAACATTCATAAACCAGTTGGAGAACACTTCAGTCTCTCTGGTCACTCGATTACAGACATAAAGGTCGCAATATTATAACAAAAAGACTTCAAAAACAGACTCCAACGAGAGACTGCTGAATTGGAATTAATTTGCAAACTGGATACAATTAACTTAGGCTTGAATAGAGACTGGGAGTGGATGTGTCATTACACAAAGTAAAACTATTTCCCCATGTTTATTCTCCCCCTTAATCCCCCCACTGTTCCTCAGACGTTCCTGTTAACTGCTGGCAATGGCCCACCTTGATTATCACTACAAAAGGTTTTGAGTGATGTTCCATTAGCAGAAAGAGGGATGCAGTACAGTATTGGGATCGGATGACAGCTAGGGTGAAAGGGGAAGTTCGGGAGAAGGCATAGTGACAGCAATGCATGTCTCTAATGAGCTAATAGATACAGGGATCAGGAAGTGAGGTAAGATTCATGGGAACCAGAGTAAAATGTATGAGGGGACAACGTGTCAAAGAAGGGAAACTGAGAAGAAAAATACTCCTGCGGGAATTCTACGCCAAAAAAAATAAAATTTCTGCATGTTTTAAAATTCTGCAAATCTTATTTGTCAATAAATAAATGTGGAGGCTCCAGCATGGCAGTGGGGAGCACAGGGCACTGGCTGCATGGAGGTGGGAGATCATCCTGCAGCCCCCCTCATACAGAGGCTCATTGGGGGATTCCAGGGGCAGGGGCACAAACTCAGCGGTGAGGCTGCACCTGACCCTGACACAGGGCAAGGGCCAGGCTTGCCCCAAAAATACCCCTGGGGTTGGGCCCTGCCCCACCACACCAGGTACACCAGGTGTGGGCAGGCAGGCTCAGTCTGGCAGGATCCAAATGTGGAGGGGCTTAGTGTGGGGGTTGCAGTTGTGGGGGGAGAGGGTTTGGTGTGGGGCAATCTGGGCAGCTCAGTGGGGTGGGGGGTCTGGGTGCGGGGGGAATCTGGATGCACGGGAGTTCGTTGGGGGTTCTGGGTGCAGTGGGAATGGGACTCTGCAGGGGATCCAGGTGAAGGTGGTTGAGGTTAACAGGGGGACTGGGTATGGGGGGCACCGTGGGCAGGGATCCGGGTGTTGCGGGAGTGGTGATTGCTGGGGTAGGTGTCAGGGTGCAGCTGGATGGGGCTCAGTGGGGATGGGGTCTGGGTGTGGGGAGGATCTGGACACAAAGGGGCTCATTGGGGGGTTCCAGGTGCTGGGGCAATGTGACTGCAAGGGGGGTTCAGGTGAAGGTGGTTTGACTCAGGGGGTGTTGGTGTGGGGGGATGGGTCTACGTGTGGGGGGTCATCAAGGTTCAGTGGGCATGGGGCTCATCGGGGTGGGAGTTTGAGTGTAGGGGGTTCAGTGGGTGGTGGTCTGGGTACAGGGGTGGGGGTGTGGATGTAGGGGGGGTGGGGCTCAGCAGTGATGCTCCGGGTGCAGGGAGTTGGGCTCAGCAGGGTGGGCTTGGTTGTGGGTGTCTCAGTGGAGGGAGGCTGGGTATGGGGGGTCCATCCACACGGGTTGGGCAGCCAAGGGGCAGCTCCCCGTACAATGAGTCCTCCCTCCACAGCTGAGAAGCAATGGGGACAAGAAGCGGGGGCATGGGGGGAGATGCAGCAGAAGAGCAAGTCCTGTCCTCTTCAGCCTAGCTGGGACTAGCAGCTGAGCCTGACTCAGGGTAGAAGCCACCGGCCAAGGCGTCACCAGCCCCTTCCCCACACAGTGATTTACCTCTCCACCAGCTATTCCAAAAGCCTGAAACAATGCACCCATGCTGATGGAGAGGGGTGTATGACCACTCTTGTGGCTTCCCTTTGCTTCCCCATCAGAAAGTCATTTTTATGAGGGGAAGCAAAGAAATCTGCAGGGGACGTGAATTCTGCGCCCATGCAGTGGTGCAGTATTCCCTCAGGAGTAGAAAAGGTCTCAAGAGTGACAGGAGACCAGCAGAAGGATCAAAGGACAAAGGGTCCAAGAGAGGTTAAAAATATGGACAGAAAACAATAAAATGAGATACAACTGGGGCATATACAAACTAATATCCCTTGAGAAAAATAATCAGAAACGTTTTTGATGAGACCAGAATCCTGAAAATCGGTGATGCCAAAACAGGCTT